CCCTCAGGTGGACTACCGTCACCACCACCACTACCACCACCACTAGTGCCACCACCACGACCTCCATGGCGGCCACGGCCACCGCGACGCGGACGCTTCTGCGGGTGGACCGCAGCTGCCGTCTCGGTAAGAGGGGTCGCAGTGGCGACCGCAGCCGAAACGTCAGTAAGCGTGCACTGGGAGGGGGCACAGCCGTGAAAGATAGAGACTGCCGGCGCACCGCTCGACTGAGCGATAGTGCGCTGGCGCGTCTCGATCTCGGTGAGGGTGTCGAAAAAGGCGGTCAGTGTGAGGTCGCCCGGGTGCTGGCTAAGGAAGCGGTCGCGGGCACTAGCTAGGCGGTCAGGCAGGCGCATGGCGATAAAATAGAGGGTCATGCAGAATGGGGGGGGGAGCGCAGTGAGCTGGGCAGGAGTGCTGGTAGTGCGATAGCGAGTCTTTAGGGTACGCAAGTGAGTTGCAAAGTCTGCTACAGTAGGGAAGGCAGCAAGGTCTGGGAACAGCATCGGGAAGAGCAGGCGGCCAGCAGAAGCGGATGCAGGTGTGGAATATCGAGCAATAACAGCGTCTAAATAAGCTTTGGCCGGATCAACTGTAGTGAAACGCGAGCGCTAAGACACTGGGAGGGCGTGACTGATAGCAACCTGAGCTACTGCATCGCGTGAGTCCCAGACCGCACAGGCAAGCGCAGCAGTAGAGAAAGCCTCACTCTTAGCGGAGGTGGGGTCAGCAGGGAGGGGAGCAGGTGCAGGGGGGGCAGGGAAGCAAGCCATCAGCATGGACAACCAGCGAGTGCCCATCCTGGCGCTGACCTGTAAGCTGACGGCGGAGATCGGAGAGCCAGGCGACGAAGTCAACCGCGTGGCCCTCAGCGTCCTGGCGGAGCACGAAGTCAGCCATCGTGCAGGGTCAGTGACACAGCTCCTCAGCGATACAGCGGCACAGCTCGGCAGGAGCACAGCGGCACGGGGACACGGCGGCAGCACTCTCCAGTAGGGCGGCTGCGGGGCGCCCCGGCGCGGGCTAGCAGAGGACACGGGGCCCGAGGTGGCACGGCAGGCCGAGCAGGCACGAGGAGGGGCCAGGCGGGCAGGAGGAGGGGCTGGGCTGGCGCTGAAAACCGGGCAGGCGTGACAGGGCCGGGCTGGCGCTAGGAGGGGCCGGGCGGGCGCACTGGGACTGGCGGGCAGTAGGAGAGGCCGGGCGGCGCTAGGAAGAGGCCGGGCAGGTGCTGCTGGGGCCGGCTAGGAGCAGGCTCGACGGTCAGGGGGCCGGCCAAGAGCGGGCGCGACGGCCAGTGGGGCCAGCTAGGGGCGGGCGCGAACGGCCAGAGGGCCGGCTAGGAGCGGACGCGAACGGCCAGGGGGCCAGCTGAGGGCAGACGCGACGGCCAGGGGGCCAGCTAGGAGCGGGCGCGACGGCCAGTGGGGCCAGCTAGGGGCGGGCTCGACGGCCAGGGGGCCGGCTAGGAGTGGGCGCGAACGGCCAGGGGGCCAGCTGAGGGCGGACGCGACGGCCAGGGGGCCAGCTAGGGGCGGACGCGACGGCCAGGGGGCCGACTAGGGGCGGACGCGACGGCCAGGGGGCCAGCTGAGGGCAGACGCGACGGCAAGGGGGCCGACTAGGGGCGGACGCGACGGCCAGGGGGCCGACTAGGGGCGGACGCGACGGTCAAGGGGCCGACTAGGGGCGAACGCGACGGCCAGGGGGCCGACTAGGGGCGAACGCGACTGCCAGGGGGCCGGCTAGGGGCGGACGCGACGGCCAGGGGGCCGACTAGGGGCGGACGCGACGGCCAGGGGGCCAGCTAGGGGCGAACGCGACGGCCAGGGGGCCGACTAGGGGCGGACGCGACGGCCAGGGGGCCGCTAGGGGCGAACGCGACGATCAGGGGCCCGGCTAGGGGCGGACGCGACGGGCAGGGGGCCGACTAGGGGCGGACGCGACGGCCAAGGGGCCGACTAGGGGCGAACGCGACAGCCAGGGGGCCGGCTAGGGGTAGACGCGACGGCCAGGGGGCCGATTAGGGGCGGACGCGACGGCCAAGGGGGCCAGCTAGGGGCGAACGCGACGGCCAGGGGGCCGACTAGGGGCGGACGCGACGGCCAGGGGGCCGGCTAAGGGCGGACGCGACGGCCAGGGGGCCGACTAGGGGCGGACGCGACGGCCAGGGGGCCAGCTAAGGGCGGGCGAGAGACTAGGGCGCGGGCAGAAGCGGGTGGGGGGACCTAACCTACTCGATACCATGTTAGAATACGTGAATGATTACTAGAAGGAGAAACCTAGAACATATACCTGTTGGGTTGTACTCACTAGAAGCACACACCTAGTCTAGCCTATAACTTCTACATAGAACATATGTATAAGTTGACACATGGCACCCGGAATTCTAAATATGCAAAGGCCGCCCACGCTCGACCTGAGCCAGCGTAGCAACTTGTCAGTCAGCGAGTGGATTTTTCACCCGAATGTCTCTTATGACTGCAACTTCGTTAGCGACGACACGCAAAAAATCCGATACGATGTGTCACTCCTACGTGGACCGGCTATGGATTGGTGGCAGCATATATTTCAGTTCCAGGAGCCGGATACGACACCGCACATAATCGGGCGTCTTCGCATGACCAATCACTACACAGGAAGTCATTGCGGGGTGGACGAGTACAGCACGTGGCAATCGTGGTGCGCGGGAATTCGTCGCCGCCTCGAACACGTCAATGCAAGCAGCAAAGCGCGCGACTGCCTTCACACTTGGCGCCAACTTGGATCAGTCCAGGACTACACCAGCAGCTTCAAGAATTTATGCGACAAGGCCGGCTACCCTGATGAAAATTTCGACAGATACATCGGGGAACTTCGACCAGATTTGCGCAGGGAGATACAGATTAGGTAAATTGCGGATTTGATGGAGGCGCAGAGGGTTGCAGAGCGGTTGGATTCATTCTTCAAGCCAAGGGCGGGTTCCTATGACGGAAGTCGCACTCGGAGATGAATCGAGCATGCCACTGTACACGCTGTCACAACATCGAACTCAGCAGTTACAGCCTTCAAGGGTCGTTGTTTCGGGTGTAAGAGACCGGCGAGTCAGAATGCCTAGGGGAGCAGAAGAAGCGAAATCAGGGGCAGGAGAGTTCCAGTGATCAGGGAAATACTTAGTATCAGTAGTTGGCGGGCCTATTACTGATGGAATCTGCTCACCCGTGACCGATGACCCTCATCGAGTACTAGTACCGATCCATGGAATCGACCAAACTAGGCTGAATAAGGAGGGTGCAAGGGCGGATTACCCTATATATTTAGAGGGTATGATTCAAGGGAAATAAATAAAATATTCGTAAACCTCACTACGACCAAAAAAAAAAATAAAAAAAAATAAAAAAAAAAAATCCTAGATACAGGAGTATACCGGAGATCGACGCCTAACTAGTCGATGGGACCCCATTAGCAATAAAATACAGGGTGGACAGGACTAGGGTACGCTGTGGAGTTGAATTCAATTTTTTGAAGGGAATGTTGGCAACTAGACTCGACGACTTCGATGTGTTGCTGGGACGGGATTGACTACGACGATTCAACCCAAAAATTGACTGGACGACTGGCAGCTGTTCTGTCAAGATCAACGGCCATAGCGTGACATTGCCAGAATGGATGAAGAGGATCACAAGGGGAGTGACGCAGGTTGACTCCGTGGCGATTAAACGAGCGGTCATGGGGAGCAGAAGTCTTCGTTGTAGTCGTTCGCGTCGTCGATGGTGCATTGCAGCCGTCCGATTTAGAGAAGCGGATAGCAACAGTGCCGGCCGATTAAGCGCAGCTGATTCGCAGATTCCCGCACATATTTCCGACGACCTGCCCGAGGGATTACCACCAGAATGACCCTTCGATCATCGAATAGAATTACAACCAATGACACAGCCCATAGTACAGCGAAAATGTTTTTAGGGTTCGTCAACTACACTATGTTCGGCGATTTATCCCGAATATGGTGGGGGTAAGTGCACCATTGACTGACCTACTGCAGAAAAGGACTGCTTTCTCCATGCTAAAAAATTTTATATGCTCACCTGTGATGACGTGGCCGACCGGGAGCAGCAACTGCCACTGATTGAGTTCGCGTATAATAACGCCCTTTCAGCCACTACACGATAGTCGCCATTTTACCTGAACTACGGACCTCCAATTACGCAACGAGCGCAACGTCGGCGGTCTTAACTAAGACCATTCCTTGGAGGGGGGAGGGTGTAAGGGAATGGTATTTCCTTATCGCGCGTTTTAGTCAGTAAGGCGTACACTACTATAACGGGGTTGCCGCGCAGCTCTGCCACGAAATTCAAATCGCGGTCCCAAATGTGGTCTCCTAATGAGCCGTATTGTTGCCCGTCTTGCTGTTGCATACCTAGATCTGGGTGCTTCGCGCCAATGTATGAACCACACGTCGCAGCTCTGCCGAGTCACGACTGTGTGCTCTGTTGGAAATGATAAAAGGACTTTCCGGAGTCTCACGTGAGTATACGAATACGCGAAGACCACAACAACGGGGATTACCGAGTAAATATTGCTACAGTACTACCGATAATTGTCGTGGGTTGACGATACCCCGCAGAGGTTACGAATGGGCAATGGTCACAGACCGTTGACTGTGCAACCCAACAGTTAGAATCAGAAGAGTCAAGAGTCTGTGCGACAGTACGGACAAATAACTGTCCCGATATGACAGTACAGATGGTTATCCGAGTCGCCTTATCGAGTCGTAAAAGGGAATGTACCCCTCGAAGTGCAAAACAGTTAGACTCTTCATATTCTCTTGTATTAACATGTAAACCATGTATCTCTTTGCTATGATCAATCACTTGTCCTCGCATACTAGTACAAGGGTTCAACTCAAGACTTATCGAATGCATATGGAATGTAAATGTTCATAGGTGGGAAACCTCAGTAACCCATAAAGAGTACAAATCAGGGTGAAAGCTTGACATTGGCAACGAAGGAGATGCGTTTTCTCTGATCCCGCTTCGCTCACCGTGGTAGGCGAGGAGTGATTTGCCTCGTTAATGCAATGGCGACTTTAGGAGTTGCTTTCGTCGGGTCATGCACGCAATCACCCCTCGGAACCTGTGTCACTTCCCAGTCAAAAGTCTCAAACAGCTGGCAACAGCTTACTTCTCCCCGCGTTTTCCTTAGCGCCACGGCTCTCCGGCATCGTGCGCAGAAACTCCCGCTTCCTGCTCGTTCCGTTTCGCAACAATGGAATGGCAGACCGTACGTTCGAGTATCAGTGGCGAATGCAGGCATTTGTATCGCGTCTACTTCTGTCGGAGACGTGAACGAGGCGATTAAGGACGCCGCTAAGGAGGGTGACGTGTCAATTGTGAAGCAGCTACTGGCGGGCGGAAATGTCGACATTAATCTGCCTAGCGCTGAGCGATCCGGCTGGACAGGTAGCGCGAACACCAGGGTGGTAACACTTGAGTTCAGGATGGTAACACTTGAGTTCAGGATGGTAACACTTGAGATCAGGATGGTAACACTTGATATCAGGATGGTAACACTTGAGATCAGGATGATAGCACTTGAGATCAGGATGGTAACCGTTGGCACCTAGCGCCGGACGATCCGGCTGGAGAGGTAATGCTGAAATACCAGGGTGGTAACAATTGATACCAGGGTGGTAACAATTGATACCAGGGTGGTAACAATTGGTAACAGGGTGGTAACACTCGATACCAGGGTGGTAGCTGCGATACCAGGATGGTAACGCGTCAGGCTGCGGTAACACGTGAGGTCAGGGTGGTAACCACGTGAGATTACGACATTTTGCACCAAGCCCAACTCTGAATTCTAGGTACTGGACTGACAGTGGGTTGGGATGGGGAAAATGACCAGAGAACAGGGGTGTGTATATGCGAGGCTTGGCTATCACAAGGCGAAATGGGAAACATGTAGTGTTACATTGTAACGAGGTGTCTTTTGAGTCTACTCAAAAGTCACCTCAAAAAGGAGTGTGTACATGCGAGGCTTGGCTATCACAAGGCGAAAGCAAGAATGGAATAGTTGGCCTTCAAAGTTCGAGAGCTGGTCGTATGAAGTGCCAGTTATTACATGTCGCATGTGGATCTCTCTATGTCACATGTGGATCTCTCTATGTCACATGTGGATCTCTCTATGTCACATGTGGATCTCTATGTCACATGTGGATCTCTCTATGTCACATGTGGAGCTCTATGTCACATGTGGATCTCTCTATGTCACATGTGGATCTCTATGTCACATGTGGAACTCTCTATGTCACATGTGGATCTCTATGCCACATGTGTATCTCTATGTCACATGTGGATCTCTATGTCACATGTGGATCTCTATGTCACATGTGGATCTCTATGTCACATGTGGATCTCTATGTCACATGTGGATCTCTATGTCACATGTGGATCTCTATGTCACATGTGGATCTCTATGTCACATGTGGATCTCTATGTCACATGTGTATCTCTATGTCACATGTGGATCTCTATGTCACATGTGGATCTCTATGCCACATGTGTATCTCTATGTCACATGTGGATCTCTATGTCTATCAGACGAGGAGATGTGACACACTCATCATGTGAGCCTCCCGTCATACTTTAGATTCGACTCAGAAGTTATTATTGGTCGCATGCGGATCGTTATCTTTATCACACAGGGTGTGACACACTCCAGTTTCATAACTAGGTGACTTTTGAGTCGACTCAAAAGTCGCCTTAAAAAGTGATTATTGGTCACATGTGGATTTTCACCGCTATCACACGAGGTGCGACACCTTCCAGCTTCATAACGTCAACCTTCCTTCCATGGCAATCCATCCGCCTGCAGCTTTACACCTGGCGGCTTTTGAATCGACTCAAAAGTCTATCTTTATCACAAGAGATGTGAAACAATCCAGTTTCATTATGTGATCCGCCTCTCTACATGGCAATCGCCCACCTGCAGCTGCTTTTGAGACGACTCAAATGCATGTGTGGCACACCCCACTTTTGAGTGGACTCAAATGCATGTGTGGCACACCCCAGTTTCGTTATGTGATCCTCCCCTCATGGCCATCCTCCTGCCTGCAGCTGCTGTTGAGTCGACTCAAACGCATGCGTGGCACACCCAGTTTCATTATGTGATCCTCCCTCCATGGCAATCCACCCGCCTGCAGCTCTGCACCTGGCGGCTTTCTATGAGCATCCAGAGATCGTCCAGGTGCTTCTGGCTGCCGGTGCTGACACCGAGGCTCGGAACGGCACCGGGAACACTGCACTTCAGGTTTGGGATGCCTGCATAACCATAGACCTGCATCAGATGGTGGCTTGGTTGGCACGATGCACTCTCGCGAAGAACACCTCCTGACTCATCCTGTCTAATTTGAGGCGCCTCAAAAACATAATCTTGCATAGGTTGATTTGCACGATGCTCTAGCACGAAGAAAATCTCCTGACTAATCGTGTCATCCTGCCATGTTATACTCGTCCAATTCTGCTTCATTTCATATTTTTTGCCATGCAATGCAATCACTTCCCTCCTCTTCCTCGATCCATCTTGTCATGCGACCCACTCATTCACCACCACACTCCTCCAGCAGTTGTTGAGGCGCCTTTATAAACTATCAATCCACCACCACCACATTCATCCTCCACCACATTCATCCACCACCACACTCATCCATCAGTTGTTGAGGCACTACAAAGATAAGCTATCCACCACCGCGACCCTCAAAAAGGCCCTTTCCCCCTTTCCCCCGCTCACTTCGCATGTCCGAAGGGCTTGCTCGCATGCTTTTGGCTCTGACCTGTATGCTTTTTCTTCTGCGCCTAGAATGGACAATTTCCTTGCTCCTTTTCCCTCACTCGGTTCACATGTGTGAAGGGCAGCGTCGTCCCCGTTGCTCGCATTGTCTTGCTGACCTTCATGCTGATTCTTCTGTTGCTCAAATAAACAATTTCCCTTCTCTACCTCGCTCAGTTCGCATGTCTGAAGGGCAACTTGGACGTTGCTCGCATGGTCTTGCTGACCTTTACGCTGATTTCTCAGCAGTTCAAATCGACACTTCCCCCCTCCCCTCGCTCAGCTTTTGAGGCGCCTCAAAAGTTTTTCTGCAGCTCAAATAGACAATTTCCCTTCTCCTCTTACCTCGCTCAGTTCGCATGCCTGAAGGGCAACTTGGACATTGCTCGCATGCTATTGGACGCTGGCGCTGACCTGTATGCCACCAGCGACGACAAGGGCAACGCTCTCGAATATGCTCAAGGTGCGAGGGGGGGAGCATTGAGGTAGCTTTGAGTGGAATCGGAATGTGTTTTGAGCGGAATCGAAAGCACTTGGATGCTGCTGCTGCCTGTGCGCCACCAGCGATGACAAGGGCAACGCTTTCTAGTATGCTCGAGGTATGCAGGCAAGGTAGCACTGAGGTAGCTTCTCGCGTCAGTCCCTAATCTGTTTTGAGCCGAGTATGTAGACACCTGGGTGCTGATGTGATCTGTATGGCAAGGGCAACGCTCTCGAATATGCGCAAGGTGTGCAGGCGAGGTAGCATCAAGGTATGGTAGTTTCTTGAATGAGCTCAAGGTGCGCCACCAGCGATGGCAAGGGCAACGCTCTCGAATATGCGCAAGGTGTGCAGGCAAGGTAGCATTGAGATAGCTTCTCAAGGTAGCTATGCACCAAGTCTTACATTGCAACCCTAGACCTTGGATGAAAGGAATGTTTAGGAAAGACTGCAGCATTGTAGGTGTCATGGGTGGATTTCGAAATGAGATATAGTAGGTCTGGAACATGAGGTGTGGTGTAACACGATGCCCTACGTCTTCTGCTAGCTAAGTGGGAAACACATCCTCGTCGTCTTATTCCTCCTAACACTTATGAAGTGGTGAAACTGTTTTTTGGTGGCTGCAGAGTGGGGAACTGAAGAAATGGTTGACTTCCTCCTTGTTCGTGCGGCGACAGAACATAATCAAGAATGAAGTAGTCTCCTTAGTTTCTCCATTGTCGCTGGTCTGTGACGTAACGTGCTATTTCCAGATCCGTGAACAGTGTGGCTACAACTATGGCGGCAGGTAATAATGATGCACTGGTGTTGTGCCTGGTAGCTTTTATTGGGCTGAGAAAAAGCCCTTAGGATCTTTTCAGAGACTAAGTCCCGGCTGTGAAGACTTGAGACTTTGAGTAGTGCAGCGGAAGTTGAGACGGTTGAACCCTTGTACTAGTATGTGAGAACAAGTGATTGATTAAAGAAACAAGCATACAGCAATATATAGAAGATAAGAAAGCAGTTGTAGAATACAGTTACAGGAACGGTTTATCGAGTCGCACAACGACTCGATTGCCGCTTCGGTTACCATCCGTGATGTTGTAACGGTCAGTCGTAACCTCCAGTTGCGACCTTTCGAGTCTTTTCGCATTCTTTGTCCGCCCCCTCGTGCAACCTCCGTTGACTCGCGTGCTCCCCTGTAGTCTTCCTCGAGTGCAGTGTTATACTTCAGAAACGCTTAAGTCCTTTGAGATATTTCCAACACTCCCCTTCGTTTCTGGAGTGCTGGCGTGTTCAGATCCGGTGACGTTTGTTTGCCCGGTCAGGAGCATGCAGTAGTCGAATTTTGCTTTCGCCAATTTCTTCGTCAGATAATCTGCGGCCATTTCTGTCGTCGGGCAGTAACTGAGTTGAAGTCTCCCCTTCGCGATTTCATCCTTGACGAAGAAGTACCGCAGGGCGATGTGCTTGGTTCGGTTGGCGAAGCCGTCCTTGTTCGCGATTTTGATCGCAGATTGGTTGTCGCAGAGGAGTGAGAAGGCGGGCAGGGTCGCGATCTTCGCTTCCTCGAGTAACTCCCGCAGGTAGAGTCCTTCCTTGGTCGCAGTACAAAGGGCGATATACTCTGCTTCAGCCGAGGATAGTGCGATTAACTCCTGCTTGCTCGACTGCCAGGAGATAGTTCCGATGGGTTCTAGTCGGTAGATGTAGCCTGTCCTAGATCGTCGATTTTCCCTATCTCCCGCGTGGTCGGCGTCGACGTATCCGAGTAGTCGTACGGACGGTGTTGTCGCTTTGCTGTAGGTAAGCCCGATCGTCGGCGTGGAGACGAAGTAGAGTAGTGCCCGGTTGAGCTCCTCAAGATCTTCCTGTTCCGGTTGCTTCAGATGCGCCGCCAGTTGACTCGCACTATAGGACAGGTCGGGTCGGCAGGTTACTGCTGCGAATAGTAGGCAGCCGAGCTTCTGTTGATACTCCTGGATTTGCTTCGCGGGGAGTTTTGCGGAGGTGCTGTTGTTGTTCCCGTAGTGGTAGGGGGTTGGGACCGTAGTCGGTGTTAAACCGAATTTCTTCGCGACGGTGCCTGAGTACTTTCCAGCGTGTAGGTAGAACGCCGTGTCGTTTTCGTCGACATTCAGTCCTAGGTACTGGGTCACTTCGTCGGACACCGTGAGTGTTAAGTCTTCCTTCAGCTCCCGTTCGAACCAGGTGGCGATGTCGGTAGTGGAGCCGATGTAGAGCAGGTCGTCGACGTAGACGATGAGTAGGATATACTCTCTTCCCTTCTGCAGTCGGTACATTCCTTGGTCATGCGGCAGCTGTAGGAATCCGATTTTTGCGAGACGGCCGTGGAGATGCTGCTGCCAGAGCCGCGGGGCTTGCTTGATCCCGTATAAAGATTTTGTCAGTTGGCATACTTTCGTGGGGTCGTTGATGAATCCGTGGGGTTGTTCGACGAAAATCTCAGCGTCCACAGGTGCGTATAGGAACGCATTCGCGACGTCGATTTGGCGTAGTGGTAATGTCTTCGTGGCCGCGACGGCGAGTAGGATGCGTAATGAGGTGTGACGGGAGACTGGAGCGAAGGTTTCTGTGTAGTCGGTCCCGTATCGTTGATCGAAGCCTCGTACGACCCATCGAGCTTTGAATCGTTCGATGGAGCCGTCTGAGTTGGTCTTAATGCGGTACACCCATTTCCCCGAGAGGACGTTTTTCCCGTTGATGCTTGTTGCAGGTACCAGTTTCCATGTTTTCCGGTCTTGCAGAGCCTTTAACTCCTTTTCCATCGCTTCCTTCCATTTCGCCTTATATTCCCCCCCCAGAGCCTGCGACAGGGTCGAAGGCTCTCGCGGAGAAGGCGGCGGCGGATGCTGGACGGAGACCCAGAGGCCTAAAATCTGCAGTCCTGTGGGTGTGTGTCGAGGGGAATTTTCATTCCCGGAATAAGCTGCTTCGTCACCGTCTTCTGGGTCAGGTAAGAAGTTGGGACCGATGCGTTCTGAAACATTTGTGTCGACTGGGTGGGGTGTAATGTAACCTTGGTCAGCGAAGTGGTAAAAGGTGTCGAGGTTGTTGCTATCGAGAGGATTGTCTTCGTCGAGTGGAACAGGTACGGAACAGAATGGGAGTGGTCCGGCAGCTTCCGAGGCTTCGGGTACGTCTTCTTCTGCCGCGTCAGCTTCGGCAGCACGGTCGGCGAAGGAACGGAGTCCGGAGAAGCCGTCGGTGGGGTCTTGTGTGTTGGCAATGTTGTCCAGGTAATGGTGCAGCGTCAGTCGCTCGTAGAAGATAACATCACGTGATGCCACGGTATTTTTGTCTTGTATGTCGAGAATTTTCCACGCGTGAAAATGTTTGGCGATGCCGAGGTGTAGTCCCCACCGAGCTCGTTGTGTGAAGCGTCCTGCTCGGGCTGTGTGGGGTCTGTACTGTACCATGCAGCCGAAAACTCGTAGTAATTTTGTGCTGCCCCTTTTTCTTCTCCACAACAGGTGCGGTGATGCGTTGTTGGGAAGCGATGACGAGGACAGCAGGTTGTGCAGGTGAACTGCATGTGTTATCGCGTCTGGCCACAGTGTGGTGGGCAGCCTCATTCCCAGAAGCAGTTTTCGCATCGTCGTCTGCAAGGTCCGGTTCATGCGTTCTGCGACCCCCTGCTGCTGGTGAGCATAGGGCAGAGACACCAGGCGTCTGATTCCTCTTTCCGCCAGATAGGTCCTGAAGCGTTGTGACTGGTATTCCAGTGCACCGTCTGACTGGAAGCTCTTGAGCTTGGTTCCTGATTCTCGTTCGGCGATGGGAAGCCACGTTGTGAAGACATCGAAAGCTTGACCGCGCGTCTTGAGATTGAAGTGCCAGACGTATCTGGTTGCTGCGTCGATGAACGTGATGACGTAGTTGAAGTCGGCTTCGGTGTCTTCTCGAGGCATGTTTAAAATATCGCTGTAGACTTTTTCCATCGGAGCGTAGGTAGGTGCGCTTGGGTTGTGATGAGATGGAAAAGGCTGATGGGGAAGATCTGCTTCGGGGCACGTGAAGCACCGTGCTCGTGGTCTTCGAAGTTCTTGGCCGCTCGTCGTTAGGAGGGCGTTGCGTTCTAACACCTTTGCTTGGATTGTTTGTAGTATCGTGCTGTTTGCAGGATGCCCGAGGCGTTGGTGCCAGATGTCGTCGGAAGCGCGATGACCCGGCGAGCGGTGGTATATGTCGGCGTTGGAGAAGAACGCGACGACTGTGGCGGGACTTTGACAAACTTCTCGTGTGATGGGCATAAGTTGGTCTGCTTCGGTTGGCGGTCCTCGGATTGCCGGTGGTGGGACTCGGCTGGGTCCTGCTGCTGCTACTGCAGGTGATGGTTTCGTTGGGATACTCGCGGGTACTTGTCTTTCTTGTCTGATGACTGCTAATGCTCGTGTTCTTTCTGCTGCAGGTATGGTGTTGGAGTGCCAGAAGCCGTCACTGTCGAATTCTGGATCAAGATCCGGCGGGTGTGTCCAGGCTGCGAATGATACGATGCCGTCGCTGTCGGCAGTACTGCGGTCGGGGACGAAGTCCAACACGAAGACGCCGGTTTTCAGGAGGGCACGACCGATGAAGAGGCCACCCTTTCCGTGGTATAGCCGAAACTCGTTGGAGTAGGAGTCGCACTCCAGGTGAATCCCCTTGGCCATTAGTTGGCTTACGCTTAGTAGGTTGTATCCCAGGTTGTCGACAATGAGCACTTTGTTGAGCTGAAGTATGACGTTTGTCTCCATGGATTGTAACTGAACCACGCCTTGTCTGTTTGTCTTCAGATTTTCATTGTTGGCGACGGTGATGACGACGTCGCGGTTGAGGCGTTTCTCCTCTTGCACGAATCGTCCTGAAGAGCACATGTGTTGCCCGCAGCAGCTGTCCAAGAACCAGGTGTTTCGCCCGGTGGGTTCGGCGTTGGCGACCGCAGCATATGTTGGATTGACTTGAAGGCCTTGTGAGCGCGGTGGCGGGAGCTCTTCTTCGTCTGGCGCGTAAGTGGGTGGTGAGCCGGGTGCGCAGTTGTCGATGTGTACCATGCAATTGATAATGTTTGGTGTCTGTTGTGCAGATGTTGAAGAGCGTCTTGGGGGACTTGCTTGAGTGGAAGCGACTTGTGGGTCTGCTGGACGGTAAACGCGAGGGCGGTTGCAGTTGACCTTGGAGTGCCCGGAAGTCTGGCAGTTGTGGCAGAACGGCGGCACGAAGGTAAATCCCCTGTTGTCGCGTTCTTGCTTGCCGCGTCGATTGTAGGTGTTGTCGTTTCTTCGTTGAGTGTAGAAGACTAACTGCTGCTGCTTCCTTGGTTGTCTTTCTTCGAACAGGTCCATCTCCTGTTGTTCAGCGTGAAGCTCGGCGCAGAGGTGCATCTCCGAAATCCTTCGTGTGGTTCTCCATTCTGGCCCGAGCCCGGCGAGGACAAGTGTCACGAAGCTTTCTTCAGTGATTGTTCCTCCGCACCGAAGCAGGCGGTCGCGGAGGGTCTGGCAGCGGCTCATATACTGCATCGCCTTTTCCCCGGTCTTCATTTGTATTGTTGTCAGTTGTTGCATGAGTCTGCTTTGTGGCACGCTGTCGTTTGCTTGGTAGAGGCACTTGAGATGGTGCCATGCGAGCTCCGCGGAGTTTCCATAGCTCCTGTATGTTCTGATGCTCTGCTGTTCTTGTGGTGACAGGTTTCTCAGGAGAACCGTATACGCCAGCAACGACTGATACGTGAAGATTTCTTGTTCCTTTCCAGTGTCGTTGCTTGGGAATGGCAGGGACCCGTTGAAGTATCCCAGAAGGTGCGCAACCTCCATCAGCAGCTCGAACTCGAAGCTCCAGGTAAAGAAGTCGTGTCCGTTGAACGGTGAGGATGTTTGCAGTTTAATCACGTGTGAGAACTGCGCCTGGAGACTTAAGATTTCCTTTGGTGTTTGTTGTGATGCAGCTGCTGTTGGTTGGGCACGGGGCGGCATGAACTCGAACGTCCCCGGTGAAGAGTGATAAGGCGCAAAGGTAGGCGCTTGATTGTGTCGCCCAAACGATGAGTTGTCGAGGCTCATCGGCGCTAATCTCATGTTTCCTCCATTGCTCTGTGTTGAATGCGCAGGTGTCCTTGTCTGCTGCTGCTGGTCGAAGTGCGACATGAAGCTGAAGAACCTTTCCATAAGGTTGGGGTCCACGCTTGAAGAGGGAGATGGAGTCACCATCTCTGGTACTCTTCCCGTTGTTTCTTGAGCAGTCCCGATCTCTGTCTGCAGTCCTGAGGTGTGCAGACCAGAGTTGCCGTGTTGAGTTTCTTGGCCGCTGGGTGAGCCCGTAGAGACTTTCTTGCCCTTGCTGTTCATGTCTTGTGATCAATGAAGTCGTTGAATTGAGTTGAGTTGCAGGTTGATGGAGCGCAGTTGCTGGGAGTTTGGTCTCTGACCAGCTCTGATACCATATTGGGCTGAGAAAAAGCCCTTAGGATATTTTCAGAGACTAAGTCCCAGCTGTGAAGACTTGAGACTTTGAGTAGTGCAGCGGAAGTTGAGACGGTTAAACCCTTGTACTAGTATGTGAGAACAAGTGATTTTGTTAAAGAAACAAGCATACAGCAATATATAGAAGATAAGAAAGCAGTTGTAGAATACAGTTACAGGAACGGTTTATCGAGTCGCACAGCGACTCGATTGCCGCTTCGGTTACCATCCGTGATGTTGTAACGGTCAGTTGTAACCTCCAGTTGCGACCTTTCGGGTCTTTTCGCACTCTTTGTCCGCCCCCTCGTGCAACCTCCGTTGACTCGCGTGCTCCCCTGTAGTCTTCCTCGAGTGCAGTGTTATACTTCAGAAACGCTTAAGTCCTTTGAGATATTTCCAACAGCTTTCATTTGGCTGAGGTTTGGCTGAGCCACAAGGATGAAATAACTAAAGGACCTCGCACTGTTGGGTGTGTTTCCAAAGCAAAAACATTCGCATTTGCATGAGCTTCGAAAACTATAACCCGTTGTGGTACATGACTTTCAAACATATGGCCGGCGTCATTATCAACTTGTTGATAATCAAATTACAGGGGCACTATGTGAGGACCTGTTTGATGCTGTCATGCATACAAGGTGCCGTGACACATCACAGTTCACCCATGTGACACAAGAATTCATTGCTTTCGGAGCAATGCCATTGCTCCAGCGGCTTCGATGAGATAGCATCTCAGGAGGTCAGTATCTGTTAGTGGACGTTAATAGGTCAGTGCAGGGAGTTGGTACCCCGTCAAGTATAAAAAATCAGTTGTGGGAGTTTCTGTCTCTCCCCGTGAGCGGAATCTGACAACAATTCTCAGCGTGAGAAGTTATCCATGTCGTCTGGCATAGTAGAGCCTGCATAGAACAATTGACGGATGTAAAAAGATAGAAAAAAGTTGAAGAGCCATGTCTGACGTAATCGGTATTGTACGCTAAGAAACAACTGTCAACTGCTGACGGTGAGAGAAATTGAGGATCCACAGGTAGAATTAACTGGCAACGGAAGCTGAAGAGTGGAGGAGATAAAACGACGGGCAGAAAGGAGACGGAGGCCACTCACTGTGTATCCGTTGGAGTGCAGCCGCTGTAACTACAATCGCGGCACACCATGACGAGAATGTGAGCGCTCCGGCGACGGCTACGCATTTTACCAAGACGACCCCGGGAACAAAGCCTCCTAGCACTGCAGCACCGACGTCCCAAATCTGTCCGGCCTCGAATAAGGAACTACGCTTCGACTCGAGTTGGCAGGCCGCGCCGTGGTAAAACTCCTGAAGCTCCATAGCAGAGATATCCATCGGTAAGAACGTTCTTATGATACTTTTAGGCGAAGGAGCAAAACTTAAGAAAAAACATTTACTCCTCTGTTGGTGGTGGTTACGAAGAGAAGAACGACAGCAGAAAGAATGGTAGCAGTTCCGGAAATGTAACAATGAGCGAGTCGTTTTCTACGTCTGGGGGGGCGTGGCTCTGCTGAATCACCTCGGGCTTGGAAAGGGAGGGAAGGGGGGGAGAGGGATTCAGCAGCAGAAATTCAGCAATTCAGCAGAGAAGGGTAGAGGAATGACGTTCTGCTGACGCGTTTTCCCGCAATCACCGGCGCTCGGGCAGCCACCAGCCCGTTGCGCTTTTCAAAAGTGTGGCACCATCGCGGATGCGCCTGGACAGATTTGACAACTCCTGGACGGGCAGCTTTTGAAACAATTTCGTTTGTTCATGCGACGATGGTGTGCGTTGAGAGGGGATGATTTTCTCGAAACGAAACATGTCGAACTCCGCCATTGCTTGGGAGAGCCTTGAGGGGAAGGTATGAAGTCTGCTGAAGGTTGCGTGTTACTGTTCAGCACAAAGCAGATCTGGAGCTAACAGTGAAGTCTACCGTGATTGGAGGAGGAAATAAGAGTCGATATCAGACTGGCGTTCGGGCAGCCGAGGAGTTAGGCACGTGATCGCGAGCCAATGAGAACTCGTGTCAACTGTCCGTGTGAGACTAGGTCAGAATGGAAGACGAGATCTCCCAATCTCGGCTCGATATTCTCATTGGCGCGCCATTTGGATGGGGTCCAATGATTGCGGCGACCATGCCTGTGATGACGCTGACAAAATCCCTGAACGCGTTATGAGCGCTTCGATGAGGAATATCTGTTGTCCAGCAAACATAATGATGGCAAAACAGCTAACTCCAGAAACAAGTAAAATTCTTTCCCATGCGCCAATATTTTAGGTATGCACACAATCGACAAACAACAAACGTGACACTCCAGTAAAATTGTAGGTATGCACACAATCGACAAACGGGACGCACTTCTCAGAAACCAAAGCACGCAAGGGATAATAGGCATAGTAATCAACAGGTAACACCAAACTAGGTTTTTGTTATGTGCTTCAGACCTAGCATCAACTTTTAGTTATGAGCTTTTAGACCTAGCAGTAACCTTCTTCCCTGCACGCTGACGGCTCTTTTGACCGCCCCTCCGGCCACCCCTCCCTCCCGTGGGCCCTGCTCCAGCACTTGCTGCAGCTGCTGCGCCCCCACCCTCTCCCTCATATTCTGCTTCTGTTGCTCCTGTTTCTGCTGCTGCTGATGATGCTGTTGCTGCTGCCTTAGACTCTGTTGCTTGGGATGCCTCAGCAGCAGCAGGGATAGCTGCAGCGGCTGCACCACCATTTGCAGCGTTGGCAATCTCAGGCTGCTTCGCCATAACAGGCTTGAACTGCAACCAGCACAAACAGCATAGAGGCAACAGTTCAGAACAACCGTGACAACTCGTGGAAGATGAAACCTGCCTGGCGAACCAAGCAGATGAGATGAAACCCACTTGGTACACAGACAAAATGACACATATCCCACCTGCGCCAAACACACGACACACCCCCCTACCAGGTGCACCGAGTAGATGACACGTAACCCACCTGGTACACGGAGTCGATCACGCTTCTGCGGATCTGAGCCATCATGGAGAGGAAGAGGTTGTAGCCCTCGAGCTTGTACTCGATGAGGGGATTGCAATGACAGAAGCTTTTCCCACCTGGTACACCGAGTAGATGACACGTAACCCACCCACCTGGTACACGAAGTAGATGACACGTAACCCCACCCACCTGGTACACGAAGTAGATGACACGTAACCCCACACACCTGGTACACGGAGTAGATGACGTTTCTGCGGATCTGAGCCATCATGGAGAGGAAGAGGTTGTAGCCCTCGAGCTTGTACTCGATGAGGGGGTCCTTCTGCGCGTACCCCCGCAGCCCCACCGCCTGCTGCGCAAACTTGAGCGCCTGCAGATGCTCCTTCCACAGGTTGTCGGTTTGGGAGAGAACGAAGTAGCGCTCGGCGTCCTTCATTAGGCCAGGAATGATCTTTTCCACCTCTTCCTGAATACACAAGGGGGGAAACAAGGGACAGACAGAGGTGTGAGGAAGAGATGGGACGTGGGGGACAGGAGATGGCGCATGCAGATGCTCCTTCCACAGGTTGTCGGTTTGGGAGAGAACAAAGTAGTGCTCCGCATCCTCCCGCTCCCTTATACCTCCAGCTCCCTTCACGCACCTGCTCCTTTCGCCTCCCAATGGGTCACCCACCCACCCTCTTTTGGTAGTACAGCTCTCAGCAGTGCTTCCTCAGGGGTTCTCTCTCAAGCTATCAACTGAGTCCGCATGCACAGAGAGGGTCTCCGCTGAATGGTGTCTCTTACTTCTCGTTCCGATCTCCACCCCAAAGCTCAAAGCTCACCTTCTTCTGGAAGTACACCTCTCGGCCGCGCTTCCTGAGGTACTCTCGCAGGTTATCCACGGAGTCAGCATGGGGCGCGAGGGACTCCGCTGAGAGGTCCGAGAGCAGGTAGCAGTACTGCTTGACTTTAGCAGCTAGGGCCTCCAGGTTCCACTCCTCCTTGGGCTGAGAGGCATCAATGTTGGCCTGAAGGGGGAAAGGAAAGAGGTGGGAGAGAGGGGGGGCATGGGTGGGAGGGAAGAACACAAGAGAGGGACTCTGCTGAGAGGTCAGTGAGCAGGTAGCAGTACTGCTTCACCTTGGCTGCCACGGCCTCCAGGTTCCACTCCTCCTTGGGCTGGGAGGCGTCAACGTTGGCCTGAAGAAACAAGAAAAAGAGAATTGGCAGAGAGGGGAGCAGGTGGGGGGGGGGGGGGGGGGGCGGGGGGGGAGACAGGAGGATAGATGCCCAGTCAGAGTGGATCTCACGTGGAGAATGTCGCATCATGGCATGCATCGTGAAGCGCATGAGAACGTTTTTTAGGCGCCTAAAAAATAGACACGTCACACTTGGAGAATGCCATGGGATGCATCGTGAAGCGCGTGAGAACGTCGCACCCACCCGTGTGTCATGTGGAATCATCATGTTCGGTGGGAATTCTTGCTAAGAACAAGGAAAGCAGAGAAGCTGCCCTCACCTCGAGGATGTCGTCCATAGCGAGCTCCGCATACTCCGCCACCTGCCCCTCCAGGAGTGACGGAGGAACACCAGCTAACGGAGGAGCCATAACAACAGCCTCACCTCGAGGATGTCGTCCATGGTGAGCTCCGCATACTCCACCATCTGCCCCTCCAGGCTCTCAGCCACAAGCGCCCGCCTCCTCTCTGCGTACACGCGATCGCGCTGGCTGTTCAGCACCTGGCGAAGAGAAGGGGCCGTGGTGAGGGATCGACAAAAGAGGGGCACAGCTGGTCAACACTGCTCCTCCGCGTACACTTGATCGCACTGGATGTCGAGCACTTGGCTAAGAGGAGGGAGACGGGAGAGACGAACGGGGGGCAGTTGCATTCAACACTGCTGCCCTCCTCTCCTCCTCTCCGTGGGCCACTTGATCACGCGCTGGCTGCTGTTAAGTAGGTTAGTTTTGAGATGCCCTCCTTGATCAAGTAGGTTACTTGATCTCAGAAGTAACCTAGTCAACACTGATGGCCTCCTCCTCTCCGCGTGCCACTTGACCACGGGCTGGCTGTTGAGCACCCGATGATGCCTCAGTCTCACCTGGTCGCACTCAAACAGCTGCTTGAGGATATCAAACAAGTGGCTGTTCACTTTCCTCTGTGCCATGAGCTGCCTCACCCCATACTTATCATGCCCCGATTTAAGCTGCCTCAGTCTCACCTGGTCGCACTCAAACACTTGCTTGAAGATATCAAACAAGTAGCTCTCCGTTCGTTTTCTCCTCTGCGCAGAGGATGCAATAACACTGAGCCACAGCGCACCTCCATACTCTACTCTATCTTCAACTCACACCTGGTCGCAGTCGAGCAGCTGCTTGCGGATATTAAACTAGCAGTTGACCACTCTCCTCTGCCCAGATCCCCCCTGGTAAAATCATACCTGGTCAAACCCCCCCTGCCCATTTTACATCTGCCCAGACAGCAACACCTAGCCATATCGCAACTCCATACTCACTGTGCCTCGTACCCCACCCAGTCATACTCATATCCGCACCTGGTCGTATTGAGTCTGTTTTTGAGGCGCCGCAAAAACATATCCGCACCTGGTCGTATTCGAAGAGCTGCTTGCGGATGTCGAAGAAGTAGTTCTCCACCTTCCTCTGCGCCTCGTCCAGAGCCTTGGTGAGCATCTTGGACTCGATGGGCATGTCCTCCACGCGGAATGCTTTCATCAGGCCCTGTTGGGGGGTAAAGAATGGGGTAGATGCAGCATAAGGAGATGAAACAAGGGGTCATGATGCGGCATGGGGTCATGATGGCCTTGATTGTTCAAACCACACGGCACTGCACTGCACACCTGGATGAGGTCTCCCTCAAAGATGCGGAAGATGTTGTCCTCGAGAGACAGGGGGATGCGGGAAGTAATCTTTTACACCGGCCCACACTGCTGCTCTACACCCCTCTGCACAGCTTTGCACACCTGGATGCGGTCCCCTCCGAAAATGCGGAAGATGTTGTCCTCAAGAGAGAGGAAGAAGCGCGAGCTGCCGGGATCTCCTTGGCGGCCCGAGCGCCCCCGCAGCTGAGGTACGCAAAGAAAAAGGGAGAGAGAGGAGGGTATGGGATGGGGATTGGGCGGGGAGAGAGGGGGCGGGGAATCGGGGGCATGGAAAGGGAGAGAGATAACAGCATGAAAGGGAGAGAGATAACAGCATGAAAGGGGCAGCAGAGAGTGAGAGAAACGCTGGAAAGGGGCTGCGGCAGGAGAGAGTGAGGTGAGAGCATGACGATAACGCTACCAGCAACATGCGTGTCCACCAAGCCAGCGGCAGCAGCAGCCCCTTCACTCACCTGGTTGTCGATGCGCCGAGACTCGTGCTGGGTATTTTTGAGAACTCCCCAAAATACCCTGCATTCTCAAGAATTCTAAAAAATACCCTGCATTTTCAAGAATTCTCAAGAAAATCCAGAAACCCCCTCACCTGGTTGTCAATGCGCCGGGACTCGTGCCTCTCGGTGCCGATGACGTGCAGCCCGCCAGCCGCAATCACCTTCTTCTTCTCCTCCTCTGTGTACACGCGGTACTCGTCGTCCATGGCTTGGAATGCTGCTCGCAGCTGCCCTATCACCGGGTCGTTGGTGGGGCCCTGGAACGCGAGGGAGGGAGAGAGAGAGAGAGGTGAGCATGGTGCACAATCACCTTCTCCTCCTCCTCTGTGTTCACCCAATACTCGCCATACATGGCCTGACATGCTGCTCGCAGCTGTGAGATCACGGATCGTCAGTGGGGCCCTGAGGAGACAGATGGAGGACGGGAGGGAGAGAGGAAGAGAGACAGGTGTGAACATGGCTGGAACGCAACCGCCTTCTGCTTCTCCTCTGTGTGCGCCCAGTACTCGTCGTCCATGGCTTGGAATGCTGTTCGGATCGGAGGCTTGCAATCACGGGGTCACTGGTGGGTCCCCGGAGAGCAGGAGAGAGGGACAACGAGTTTGATGGCTGAGGGGAAAAAAATGTTTTTTTTAGAATTCCCAAAAATCACCTACAAAATGAGGGGCCAAAGAATCTTCCACCAAGTACACTCGCCTTCTAACACGCGAATGCCAGCCTGTCTTCTGACTACAGAGCAGGCAACGAGCTGGTGAGTGAAGGATGGGTTACCGGGGGTATGTATTACCGGGGGTATGTATTACCGGGGGCATGTATTACTGGGCCGCAAGAGGAGGAGCTCACCTTCTCACAGGCAAACGCCAGCCTATCCTCAGCCTCAAGAGCGGGCAGCGAGTTGACGCCCCACGACGCCACCGCTGCCTCCACAGCTGACGCCAGCAGCGCTGACGTGGCATCCGACAGCTGGCAGGGGTAGAGCTCCGGGTTGACCTGCAGAAAGAGCAGAGGGAGAAAAAGGAGAAGGGAGGAGGGGAGGAGAAAGGGAGAAGGGAAGGAGAAGGGGACGAGAAGGGGACGAGAACAAGTGGGATTAAGAGTGGGCACAGGGAAGCAAGGGCAGTGTTCACGCTGGGCTGTGGAGGTCGGAAGTACTGTGTGCATCCTCATCTTAGAAGTGCACCTTACCAGCAGAACACACGGCCCGTTTACTGACCGCTTTTGAGTCGACTCAAAAGGGTACAGTGTGGAGCTTGATCTTAGAAGTGCACCCTACTGCAAGAGCACACCGCCCATTGACTGCCGGTGCAGAAAAAACTCACTGCCAGGCAGGCTGCAACTCCCCGCTGGGCAGGATGCAACTCACCGCCCGGCAGGCAGGCTGCAACTCACCGCCAGGCAGGCTGCAACTCACCGCCCATGTCTTCTTGGTGGGAATTTTCCTCTTGCCCTCAAACGCGATCTCGTTGTCACTGGCCTGCACGACCCTGTTGGATTGGAGGAGAGCGGGAAAAGGAGACGGGGGTGCGGCAGTGGGGGCAGGGGGAAGGGAGGGGGTCGTAGGGGAGACAGTTGTTTTCAGAAGGTGAGGAAGAGAAAGCGAAGAGCGGTGGGATGGAGGGTGAAGGGAGGGAGAGGAGGGAGGGCAAGAAGGGAGGGTGAGCGAGGAGGAGGTTACAAAGGGGAGAATGAATTTCAAAATGCTTTCTTGCAGAATGTCTGCTGGTCCAACCACCTCCCCCCCCTCCCCCCATGGTCCTAGTCCCACCTCCACCAGTCCCACTGCCCCCAATCCTACCTGGGCATGAGCATCTCTTCAAACCCACCACAAGCAGCTCCACCTGGACTGTTAACCCCCCCCCCCGGTCCAGTCTCCCCCAGTCCCACCTGGGCATGAGCATCTCCCGCAGCTTCAGCCGAGCCATGAACTCCGCATTGCCGCCCAGTAGGATGTCGGTACCTCGCCCTGCCATGTTGGTGGCAATGGTCACTGTGTGGAGAGGTGGGATGGGGTGGTGAGACAGGGAGGTCAACAATGTAAGAAGGGCCAAGGTTAAAACTTAAAGCCCCTCATTGCCACACAGCAAAATGCCAGTGCCTCGCCCCGCCATGTTAGCCGCGATGGTGACTGGACGGGGGGGACAGGGAGGTGGGAGGGAGGGAGGGAGGAAAGGGGGGGGGGGGTGGGTTTGAGCACTTTGTGCTTCACCCCCGCCTCGTTGAGCCGCGCCTAGTGCTCCCATCCCCAACCGCCCTTCGCCCTTAGGCTAGCACACCCACCAGCGCCCAGCCGTCCACTCTGTGCGACAATCTCTGCTTCCCGTTCGACGTTCTCGGGCTTGGCATTGAGCACCTGGTGCTTCACCCCCGCCTAACTGAGCTTTGTCTTGGCCATGTATGATCAAAGGCCCCAACCAAGCACTCACCAGCGCCCAGCCGTCCACTCTGTGCCACGATTTCTGCTTCCCGCTCAACGTTCTCGGGCTTGGCGTTGAGCACCTGGTGCTTCACCCCCGCCTCCCGGAGCCGCGCCGACAGCCCCTCGCTCAGCTCCACACTGGTCGTGCCCACCAGCACCGGGCGGCCCATTTTGTTCATACGTGCAACCTCCACCACCGCCGCCCGCCACTTGCCGTCTGCCGCTCGGAACACCACGTCGGACTCGTCCTGTGTAGGGGGACGTGGAAGCGGGGAGAATGGTGAGATTAGAGTCAAGGGAGAGGCGGAAGTTGACGACACCTCCCACCACCGCCGCCCACCACTTGCCGTCCGCCGCTCGGGGAGTGAACAGGGGGACGAAAGGTGAGGGAGGAAATCAGAGAGAGTGGTGAGAGAAGAGGGAGTGGAAAATAAACACTGTGGCAACCAGACTGCTCATCAGCACTTCCGCCGCTGCCTAAAGCTGTTTTCCTCACATCCTCCCCCGCACCCCTCTCTCTCATTCCTCTGGTCGGTCGGTCGGGATCTCAGTGACGGTTAGCTTGTATACGCTGGTGCATGCTTCGACTCATAGCACCATTACTCGACGCATCGCTGACAGCACAGTCTCACCTTGCGCCCTGCTGGCCGATTTGTCGGGATCTCAGTGACGGTGAGCTTGTAGATGCTGGTAAACTCAGCCACCTCCGTGGCAGCTGTACCCGTCATGCCACACAGCTTGGGATACTGGTGCAACGGAATGGGAGGGACCAGTGGGGGTGGGGTGAGGGATGGGGCAGAGGAAGCGTGGGGGACAAGTGAGCAGGTGGGTGTGGACTCGGTAGTATCTCAGTGACGGTGAGCTCGTATATGCTGGTGAACTCCGCCACCTCCGTGGCAGCCGTGCCCGTCATACCGTGCTGCTTGGGGTACTGGAGCGAGGGGGAACTGGGTTGGGGTGGGGGGAAGGAAGGATGAGGGGGGGGGGGGGGGGGGAGGGGGGGGGGGATGGACTGGCATTAGCATCTCTGGTGGTTGCTATATCCGTCATGCCACACAGCTTGGTGTACTGGTGCAAAGGAATGGGGGGGGGAGGATGAGGGATGGGGCAGAGGAAGCAGGGGGAACAAGTGAGTGGGGGGGTGTGGGCTCAAGATCTTAGTGGCTCAGCCAGTGATTGACATGCCCATCATGCCGCACAGCTTGGGATACGGGAATGGGCTGCCCCTTGCTTGCTTGTGCAATAGCGATGGGACACGGGAGGGGGAGGGGGAGGGAGGCGCGAGTGTGTAAGATGGGACAGAGGGGGGGTTGGGGAGTAGGCGAGGGGGGGAGTGGGGGGGTGGAGGGTGCACAGAAGAGGGGTGGGGAGGGTCCGAACATATCCATGCCAGCCGTGTCATGCCACACATTGTAAGGATCATACTATGTCATGACATACTGTTACAGAAGAGGTGGGAGATCACACTACGTGGAAGGGGGGATGGAGATGAGGAGGGGGGAGTGGTGCGGGGGAGGGGGGGGGGGAGTGGGGAGGTGAAGGTTAACCTGCCATGGCAGCTGTATAGCTCACGCAGTCTCTGCTCACACGGTCTCTGCTGACGCTGTCTCTGCTGACGCCGACTCTGCTCGCGCTGTCTCTTTACTAAGACTAAGCTCACCGAGGTTGGGTGCCGACGAGCCTGTGTTTACCAATCCTAAGCTCCCCGAATTTGTGTGCCGAGCCTGTGTTTTACCTGGCCTGTACTGACCTGCAGGAAGATGCTCTGGTAGCTAATGGAGGGGAGGGTGACCGTCTCGTTCTGACTGGTTGCATGCATCGTAAGCTTAACCCTAGGCCGTTCAGCAACGATTTTTGAGGCGCCTTAAAAGTAGCCGATGAGCGCACGCGAGGGTGACCGTATCGTTCTGAATGGTTGCAGTAACCCCAGGCCGCTCAGCAACGACTGACCTGCAGGAAGAAGTTCTGGTAGCTGATGGATGCAAGGGTGACCGTCTCGTTCTGAATGGTGAGGCCCTCCTTCGCCTCCACTGCCTGGTGCAGCCCCTCGCTCCACCGCCGGCCCTGGATGAAGGCACAAATAAGGGGGGTTAGGTAGAACAAACAAGTGGAAGGGGGGAGCCCATGGGTCAGAAGGTGGGTTGTGTGAGGCCCTCCTTCGCCTCCACTGCCTGGTGCAGCCCCTCACTCCACCGCCGGCCCTGGGAGAGGGAAGGAGGAGAGGGGTTGAAGAACAAACAAGTGGGGGGGAGGGAACGAAGGGATGAGAGGGCGGGTTGTGAGAGCCCCTCCTTCGCCTCCACCGCCTGGTGCAGCCCCTCGCTCCACCGCCGGCCCTGAAGGGAGAGGAAAACGGGGGAGGTGGGGAGGGGGAAGGGGGGTGAGGAGGGGGAGAACGTGACATTCAGTCCAGCCTCACAGGGAAGAGAAATGGCGAGCCCCTCCTTCGCCTCCACTGCCTGGTGCATCCCCTCGCTCCACCGCCGGCCCGGGGAAGAAGTCAGGAGGGGGGGTGAAGAGCAAGCAAGCAGAAGAGAGGGAGACCAGAGAGCATAAAGGCGGCAAGGAATGGTGAGGCCCTCCTTCGCCTCCACTGCCTGGTGCCGCCCCTCGCTCCACTGCCGGCCTTCAGAGGGAGAGGAGGGAGGGAGGGAGGGATGCGAGGCGGGTACCCCTCACCTCCATCCGTAATGCGGCCTGTAATTTCATCCACACGGTGAGGATCCCCCCCCCCCTTCACAGTGTACTGCACGTCCCTCAGAAACAGATCATTGGCCTTTGATGGTGGCATGCCCCTTAGACATGGTTTAAGTGCAATGCGATATAATATCGCATCGCACTGGCTGCGATAGCGATTAATATCGCGCGATATTATATCGCATCGCTGCGACATAAAATTTGGAAACCCGATATCCCATATCGCATTCCAGGTGCGATATATGACAATCGCATTTGAAAATGCGATATATCGCACGATGCGGCCATGCAATATAATATCGCATCCCGTTTCATCCAGGGCTCCAAAACCCAGATTGCCACCTAAAAAGAGCATGCGATATTAAATATCCCATGCCATACAAACATATCGCATATCGCAATATATCGCAGGGGGAAACCCGCGACATTTTACATCGCATCGCATCGCGCGATATTTTTCCTGGAGAATACAATATCCCTATCGCATTTTTGCGATATATGCGATATTAGATCACGCGATGCGATGCGATATAACCATCTCTAATGCCCCTTACCCGTTTCCTGTGAACACTAATAATCCCCTCTCACACCGTCACCCCTGTCACTCCCCCTCCCTCACCTCCATGATTCGCCCCGTGAATTCGTCCACAATGAGGATCCCCCCGCTCTTCACAATGTACTGCACGTCCCTCAGGAACAGCTCCTTGGCCTTGATGGCGTTGATCACGTACGACGCCCACTGCTCCCGCGGGTCGTACAGGTCCCGCACTCCCAGGAGGGTCTCCGCCTCCTCGTACCCCTCCTCTGTCAGCAGCACCGCCTTCTGCTTCTCGTCCACCTGGGGGTTGAAAGGGGTTGAAATGAGTTGAAAAGGGTTGGTTGGGATGGGCAAGAACAGTCAGGTTGGGTCGGAGGAGCCGGCAATCACGAGCAGAAGCGCTTCGGAGCCCTTGGCCTTGATGGTGATGAGCATGTACGGTGCCCGCCCACTGCTCCCACGGGTCATACAGGCCCCTCACGCCCAGTAGGGCCAACAGGGTTTCCCCTCCTCGTGAGTCGTACCCCTCCTCTGACAGAAGAGCAGCCTTCTGTGCAGAAGAGCAACCTTTTGGGGACTTCTCAAAATCACTCCCAGTAGGGCCAGCAGGGTTTCCCCTCCCCTTGTAGCCCTCCTCAGTGAGCAGCACTGCCTTCTGCTTCTCGTCCACCTGGCGTTTGGGGAAGGGCCGGATTGGGTGGGGGGAAGTGGCCAGCGTGAGAGAGGGAGAGAGGGGTTAGGAGTAGCAGGCCAGCACAAGCATCCCCCACCCACACGGGTGCGGCGCTCCAGGCTGGCCGCCTAACCACAACCCCAGACCGATCCATGGGCCCCTTACCCTGGGGACCTATATGCTACCTTGGAAGTGGAGGAGCCTTAGACCCTGCAGGGGTTGGGTTGGGAGGGGGAGGGCTGGTGCCCGAGCTTGGGGTGTAGGATAAGATGGCCATAGCTCCTGCTCTCAGGGTTTAACTTCTGCCTTTCCTGTCTTTGTTCCTCTGCTTGCGTTGCTTGGTGGTGCTCATTCGTTTTACATGGCCATTACACTAGCCGTAGTTTGCACCCAGGTTGCTGTCAATGAGCAGGACCGCTTGATAGGGAGTAGCATAGCATTAGAAAGGCAGTGGGGCTGCTGCGTACAATGCCCACTGCTCCCACGCGCGGATCATTCATGCGTCTCACTCCCAGGAATTGAAACGCCTCAAACCCACACCCTCCCCCCACCCCTCCCCACACACACACACACATGCACATGCATGCACAAAACAAACACACACATGCACACATACACACGCACCCCCCCCCCCCCACCACCCCCCCACACACTCAGAGGCACGCACCGTGTAGTGCACGTCGCGCACAAAAGCATTGGCCAGCTTGGCGGCCTTGTAGTAGCGCTCGCTGGGCTTCTCTGCCGGGCCCGAGATGATGAGCGGCGTGCGCGCCTCGTCGATGAGGATGGAGTCCACCTCGTCGATCACACAGTAGTGGAAGTCGGGGAGCACCAGCTCGTCCTTGGACTGGAGCACATGATAAAGGGGATGCACGGATCGAGGGTATTGGAGAACATGGGAAGTGAGGAGGGCAAGGATAGAGTCCACCTCGTCCGTGAATGGGGTTGTGTTGAATAGGGAAAGGGGAGGGTGGGTGGAAGGAGACAGGAGACAAGAGACAAGAGAGACTGGATTGTGTTGTATAAGGGAAGGTGACAAGAGAGTGCGGTTAGAGTTGGCTGGCCTTTTAGATGATCCATTTTCGTTCGTAGAAAATATGGAAGGGGATGCAAGACGCTGTTGAATACACTTGGGAGTGGTGTGTGCAGTGCACGTATGATTGTGACGCCACGCACACTCATGTGAGAACGTAAATAAAGAACGAGAAAAGATAGGAGGGATTGAAACAACAGAGAGAGAAGGGAAGGGGCAGGGAGACGTGTGGGGAGTGAAACGTCTGCGGACGGAAGGACCCTAGAGTGTAAAAATGCATTCCGCTGCGCCTCTGGGTAGCCTCGTGTTGACCCAGTGGGTAGCAAGGCGTTATACTGGAATCAGAGCTGAGGGTTCGTATCCCGACTGGTCACATTTTCCGCTCATGGCTGAGGTCGTGGCGAGAACTCGAGTGTGCAAAAAATACAACCTGTCTCAACTGCGGTTGTATCCAGTCGCGAACCCAGCGAACAATCCGCCGCTGGCTTGACCCACCAGCGAAGTCGCTGCTGCTCCCCAGCGAACTGTGCGAGGTCCTTGCGAGGGCCGACTCCCTGAACCAACGAGGACGTTGGCACCAGGCTGGGGACGAGTGTAACGTCTGCGGACGGAAGCACCCTAGAGTGTAAAAACGCATTCCGCTGCGCCTCTGGGTAACCTCGTTCTGACCCAGTGGGTAGCGAAGCGAGGCCTTATAGGGAGAGTTTAAGGGCCAGACAGGGGCCTCACAGTGGCAAGGTTATCTCGGAGGAAGTCGAATCCGAGCTCGCTGTTGGTGACATACGTCACGTCACATGCGTAGCTTTCCCTCCGCTGCGCCGCATCCATGCCCTCTGGAAGGAGCAGCAGGGAGGGGAAGGAGCGGGGAGTGGCAGGGGGTGGGGGGGGGTGGGGTGGGGGAGTGGGGGAGGGGAGAAATCCCACGGGTACAAGGGTTTGCTCTATCGTCGGCAGAAAAAAAAATGGAATTGGCAGAAGGAGGGCAAGTGACTGGGAATGGTTTGTGTGGGTGCATGGGCGCATGGGCGTCTGCACCTGCCCCACCCACTCATTACAGGAACCTTTCAAGCCAGGTGGTCGTTGGCTGACAGTCATCACGTGCACGCACGCACGCCCCTCTATCGTACAGCCACTCATGATATTGTTACAACCAGATTCACTGGTTGGTTACACTGCCATTAGTTACGCTGCTGCCATTGACTCGCGTCCAGCACAATCACGTTGAATCAGGCTGACCGAGAGCCCCAGGAACTTGTGCTCCTGCCCCACCCACCCACTCCGCGTCACGCCTGGCCCACTCACACTCCCACTCTGTGAAAGTCATTGACAGTCACCACGTACACGCCCTGGCCTGCCCCACTCACACTCCCACATGCCTTACCGCCAGACTCACTGGTTACACTGCCACTGACTCGTCATGAGTACACTCACATTGGATGAGCCGCATGGAGAGCCCCAGGAACTTGTGCACCTGTCCCACCCACTCCACATCTCTCCTGGAAAGGCGTCCATGACGGTCACCATATGCACTCCCCTCCACCTCTTACAGTCACACCCACTCGCTACTGTCATGTCATGCCATGTCACACTCACGTTGGATGAGCCCCACGGAGAGCCCCAGGAACTTGTGCACTTGCCCCACCCACTCCGCATCACGCCTGGCCAGGTAGTCATTCACAGTCACCACGTGCACGCCCCGGCCTGTGAGCGCGTTGAGGTACGCCGGCAGCACCGCCACCAGCGTCTTGCCCTCGCCCGTCCTCATTTCCGCAATCTGCCCCTTGTGCAGCACCATGCCGCCTGGGGGGAGAGAGCCCATGGGGTAAGAGGAAAACAGGGAAGAGGGGAGGGGAGCAGATGGCGTTGAGGTACGCCGTTAGCACCGCCACCAGCGTCTTGCCCTCGCCTGTTCACATCTCTGCGATCTGCCCCTTGTGCAGGACCATGCCGCCTGGGGAGAGGAAGGTGAAACACCAAGAGGGAGGGAGTGGAGCGGGGCGCGTTGAGGTAGGCTGGCAGCTGCACCGCCACTAGCGTCTTGCCCTCTACTCGGCCGGCGGGGGTGGGGATTTGAATGGGGTGTGGGGGGAGAGGGGAGTGGGGAGTTGTCAAAATGTGTGTTGATTCACGCCGACTGGGGGAGAGCCGTCGAAAGGACCCAGGCTAGAAAGAAAGGGTAGCAAGCAGTCAGCCGGAAACCCCAAGCGACTTTTGAGGCGCCTCAAAAGTCGAAAGGGCCAAGGCTAGAAAGAAAGGGTAGCAAGCAAGCCGTCAGCCGGAAACCCCAAGAACGCGCGTACCAATGAGCTGCACGTCGAAAGGGCGGAGGCCGAGAACGCGCTTGGAAGCCTCGCGCACCACAGCAAAGGCCTCCTGCAAACCAGGCAGGCGGGCAGGCAGGCGGGCAGCGAGAAAGGCAGGGGAATAGAGAAATTAACAGAAGGGCCAGCTTCGCCAGGCTTAAAGCCGCAGTGCAAATATAGCCAGCGAGGTTCAATTGTTTATAAGTTGAAAGGCTAGGTTACACGGTGAGGCAGTGCAGGCTAGGCGAGAGCTCGCCAAAAGCCGTGCAAAAACTTCAACCAGAATGGTGCACTGCAAACCTCGAAGGTTGTCACTCTGCTCCCCGTGCGTTTGATTCCCCTCGCCTTGTTTCCTTCCCCCGAGCCCATTTCGTTTCGCCCCCCAGGCCCCACCCCGCCCTCACTTTCCCACTTCCCCCACTCCCGCCTCTGCGTTTTCGAGGTGGAATATACCCAAGGGGCGACTTCGATTCCGCCTCGGGGCCCAATCATTTCCGCCAGCGACGGTTTTCAAAATGTTTTCAACACCCCGCCCGCAAAACTCCCCCTGCCTTTCCCCCCTAACCCGCAACATCCACATCGGACCCACAGGCAAGACCAAAAACAAATTACACCGTGGCGAAATCACCAAATACCCAACCACTCATGTGCTTCGTTCTTTCCATACCACCTCGCTAAACTCGCCAACACCCAACTACCTCTACGGGTTCAGGTTTTTTTTCAATCTTGCGCGGCGGCTTTAAGAGGCTGTTCATAAGAGTGGCCCTACTGACAGGATGGCCCGAGAAGAGAAGCTAAGCAATAAGCGAGAGCTGGCAGGCAGCGCTATGTGGAACGCTGGTGTGGCTAATGCGTGTCCGGCTGGTTGAGCTAACAAGCGACAATCTGGTTCGCCATGCTCGCCATGCATGCTCGCCATGCTCGCCATCTTACCTTACCATAAGGTAAAAGCATAAGGCAAAATGGACCACAATGCCTTGTTTCGAAGTACGCAATAACGCACAAGTAAGGCGCGTGTTGCTTGGAAGACTGCGAGACATCTTACCCACGAAGCCCGCTCATCTTATATTCACGAAATTCACACCCGCTCTTTAGCGCTACTTATTGCGTCGACTCAACATTTGCATCCGTCGCACACGCATGGTAAGTCACACACATTCATATCTGTTATCTAGTCATCGCATGGTTGGGATTATTAAACATCGAATTCTTCAAATGTAGAATTTCACCAAGGTTGCACTAATTATAACAACTGCGACCGTTGCATGACTTACCCGCAGCACGCTGTCCAGCAAATCACGAGCTTTTAGACGTCTAAAAGCTCGTGAATCGCTGGACAATGATCAAGCGTTTAAAAGACGCGATTCACCAGCATGATAATTATAAAGTTTTAAAAGGTCTAAAAACTTACAGGCAGCACGCTGTCAAGCGACTCGAGGTGGCTTTATAATCGACAAAAGTGTCATTGCGACGGGTGTATGACTCACAGGGAGCACGCTGTCCAGCGATTCGCCAGCAGCCACGCGTTTCTTAAGATCGACGGTCATCGCTCGCAGCTGATCATCCGACATCTTCTGCATCACCGGTTCCAGCTTATTCACATCCGCCACGCGGTCCGCGTACTGCTGACGTGTCTTCTCAGCGGGGTCCCCTCCTCCAAACAACCCCCCGAGCATTCCCCCCATGCCTCCGAGCGCAGATGTTACCGTTCCAGATCTACCTGTCTTCGCTCCTGCGGATTTAGGCCCTGCGGAACGATTCGAGGAGCTAGATGCAGAAGGGGACTGGAGGCAGATAGGAGTGCTAGGAGCAGCAGGAACACTAGGTGACGCCTCTGGTACTGCCTGGGAAGGCAGGGTAAGGGACATTCTAGAAGCTCCCTTATAGAAGCTGCTATTCCCGCTGGCGCTGCTGTTGTTAACGCCATCGAAGCTGGCGCGGCGACGCTGATTCACGGGTTTAGAGGAGAGGGAATAAGTAGCGTTGGAGGTTGCGGGACGGAGAGCAGCAGCAGGTCCCGTGCGGAGATCAGCGCACGCGGAGGCGAGCAAATGCGCAGCCATGGCTGTGCGTGGTGAGAGAGAGAGATAGAGGCAGTCAAAATAACCGCGAAATTCGACTCCCCCGTCAGCCTCCCCTTATCCAAGGAACAGTTTACTTCGATACAGAGTGAAGGGAAGTGACATTGCGAGGCAGGAGCATCTAGGGGAGCGTGTTTGGGGTTCCTCAGCAATGAGGTGGAGGGAAGAGATTGGAGAATGCAGGGGTAAACCGTGGATTGCTGTTCCAAAAAGGCAGGAAGTTTTTACACTCGCCTAGCTGCAGCCCATAAGCACCCATCTCTCCCGGGGATTGTTCCACACGATTTGTTCAGCACATAGGTCTGGCAACCCGAAAGGTGCTTAGGGACTGTCAACACCGAACCTAGCTGAATTTGGCTCCATAATTCAGCTGAAGACCGGAAACACACGGAGAGGCGGTGCTGGTACAGCATTCATTTTCATATCTGACCCTCTACGTTCAGACAGGGGTTATCGGAGAGGCTAAATAGAGGAGCTGACGTGGATGACAGGTGTGGGGTCATCTGAGCCACATATTCCTGATTGTCCAGAAGCAAGGAGGGTATGGCTACGTCGCGTGAATTTCTCCGCCCGAATCCCAAATTACGGGCGGCAGCCTTCAAACGCAACGCGTATGAAACCTGCGTTGTCGCAGGGGTCTGGGTTTTAATACCACTGTTCAGCCATCCGGAATACTAAAGTTGCTATAAGTACTGTCTTTTCATAAGCAGCAGCACATTCAACCTCTTATGAGTCATGACATGCACACTCAAAACGGAATTTGTTTAAAATCGCATTCCAAACGTATGTTTTTGGGCAAGAACATCGGATAGGAAATATTCACATCCCTTGCAATGCATCCTCAACACTACTCTTCGTTTTGTTATCCTCACTCCCTATCTTCCATCGTATCTACATGTTGAAAGATAGGTGTAATTTCTGCAACTGGGCCTATCTGCCCTGGTGCTTCTCCTGCTGCTTCTCCCACATTGCATCAATTGAGCACATAATCTCGAGGTCAGTCAGCTCTGAATCTGACTTCTGCACTTCAGAATCTAGCCACATGCCTGCCGAAGGACCCGAGGAGCTTTCTCGCTGGGGAGGTTTATTCAGGTCAGGAATGGTGTCTCTGGTAACTGATGCCCTTTGACACAATCCACGTTCCTCCAATGACTCGCAGACGTTCGCCATTGAGGCTTTCATGTGCTGGGCTGCTGAGTCCGGGGGCTGAACCTGCCCAGCAGACAAAATAGTAAGCCCCACTTCCCCCTTACACCTAAAATAATCATCCCAATTTGGACTGTTGTCCAAGCTTTCAGGAGCTGCTGCAGGAGTCTGTATTGCAGTGCTATGTAGCCATTGAACAGGTGGCAAATTCCCAGCACTGCGCCCTTCAGCTTCATCTGATTTCAGCTTCTGTGTCTCCATCGTTTGGGAGATATCCTGCTGCTCGACGTTCTCCGCTCCTTCCATAGAAGGACTCGCCTTTTCCCCAGGAGCTGGTGAACTCTCTGGAGAGGCTTCCAAACTCCTGCACCCACTGGCGTTCTGGTTACTAGCTGCACCATCATGGTAGTAACCGTCCGTTAAAGAGTCTTTTCCATGACGGTTACTACCGTCATGATCACTTCGCTTCTTCTCGTGCTCCCTGACTAGTTGCTTCGCCCAATGACTACGTGGCAACATTGCCGCGCCCGGTCTGCATTCCCAGCCTGAGGCCTTCTTCATGGTGATGAGGTCAGGTGCTTTCCTTTAGGATGATGAGCTGCTTCCCGGGCCATAAGATGCTGGCTGGACTGGTACCGCGTGTATGATCAGTTGTAGCACTTGAAGAATCCCAGATGGTTCCACTAGTACTAATACTACCAGTTGAAAAAAGGGTGTAAGGTGCCTAAAATCAAGTCAGACCGTGCCACTCTCACCCTCGCAGGACAGCACTAGCAGTAGACGTACCGAGTTTCCAATCTGAAGAAGGGAGCAGTTGAATCTTGTACGAGAAAAGAAACGACGTCGCCGAAATCAGACGCGCCGGGACTCCCATTTTCGGCAGAGCCAAGCTAGCTTGCAGCTTCCGCTGCACCCTAAGCATTGCTGACAGCAAGAAACATGCAAGTGTGACATTCAACTTACAAGAATCATGCTCATGGAAAAGTCTTTGAGAGGAGAATGCACTTCGCGAGCCTGCAGGCCTAACGGTGACATTCATTTTTCTCATACTGATGTCCATCAATTGCTCATATTTTCTTCCAATCCGCTTGCATTTGGGGGAATGCTGATGGACTGTCCGTCCGCTCCCTACTTCCAGGCCAAAACCATGCATAAATCGGGACAAGGACAGCCCAACTTGCTAGAGGTCCTCATTGACTTCGATGCTGCGTCCTGGGCGTGAGAATCGAGGGATTGCTTAGAAGAGATCAGCGAAACGGATTGGATCTCCAAGGATCTAGCAAAATAAGTGCCACTGCAGTGAATGTGGCCTGCTGTCCGTTCATTTCATGTTTGTTCTTGCCTTTGAAAACGAATCGGCCTTAGAATCGACTTGTGGGAGAGTCGTCTTTTGACCGTTGGATATGTACACGTTTTCTCCTGTGCAGTACTGCAAATCTCACAAGGTTTTGTTCGATTGGTGGAGCGGCGATGGCGGGGTCTTAGCTACTGCAGTCAAGTCAGTAGGGCATTTTCTTTCTTTCGCCGTCAACACGTGCGAGTGATGACTTGGCGCCCTTTTAGAGGTTCGGAGCCAAAACTGGCAGCTACATGAAACCAGTCATCCGAACCTGCCACAAAACAAAACATTTTCGGGCTAGCTTAGGTACGCAAATCAGCCAAGAAAGCTACCCGAGGCAAAACAAAATATAACCCATGGGCCCACATGCCGTTTCGGAATGGGTAAAACCCCAACTCGCGGAGGTAATTTTCGTGGTGTGGGCTCGGTATAGCTGGATGACGGGGTTAGACTGCCTCGGTAAGTTTCAAACGAATAGAACCGCGCCATGTCAACATGACGGCAGCAGCAATATAATTTCCCCAGATTTTACTGCAGAAGCTAAAACCCCCAGCAATGACTGCCGTTAGATAGGTACAGTCTTGGCACATGTACACTGGCAGCTGCCAGCTGGCAGTTGCCACACTGAGTAGAAAAGAAACGTTTCATCGTTAAACACTCACTTCGGGTGTTTGCTTAGTTGAAGTATTAACTACAACTCCACCCATGTGAGTTACTTGGAAATGTGTCAAATTGTTATGAATGAACAAGCAGAGTAGCGCGGAAATGAATAACAAAGTGTTCACTCAATGAATGACGATACAAGGAATGGCAAGCCAATATATAGGAACACCAGAACTAGTCTAACCATGCGATGATAAGGTTCGGGAAGGAGATCGAAGGGTCTCGAAGTGACGCAGCGAGGCTTGGAGAACTCCCGAAGGTCGAACTAGCAGGTCTGGAGAAGCCGAGGCGGCTCTGTCAGGAGGTCTGGAACCGTCCCGAGGCTTCGGGTGTGTTCGAGCGTACGCAATAGCAGTACCGCTCGGTAAGGAATGGCAAATTCCTTACACCACCCCCCCCCCTTAGCGAAGGTAATCTATATCAACCACGTGCTTGCGGTCCAAATAATTCGCAAGTATCGAAGGTGACTGTATCTGGTCCGAGGGCACCCACGTGTCGTCCTCACTGGTACGATTGGTCCATCGTATCAGAAAATCAACGTGTCGTCCTTGACCGTCGATACGAATCCGATGGCTCAAGATCTTCGAAGGCTCGATGGTAGTCTCAGCTGGTGGCCGTACTTCTGGGACCAATCGCTGTCGAGCGATGTCCGACGTGTCAGGAACAAAGGGTCGCAACAGACTCACGTGGAATTTGTTGTGAATTCGCCAGTCATCGGGCAGGCGTAACTGGGCGATCACCGGCGTCACCATCTTCACGATCTTGAATGGGCCACAGAAACGTGGTCGTAATTTCGTCGGTAGTGGCAGTCGTAAATTCTTGGTGTCCAAAGAACTAGTTGCCCTGTTGCCATTGTAATATCCCGTCGATGTAAATCCGCATACCGTGGGGCAGTTGTGTTCGCCTTGCGAATAAGTTCGATAGCTTTGTCTCGGGCAGTCTACAATCCCTCGACGAACTGCTGCGATCGTGGTACTTGACTCTCAACGTTGGTGGAGATCGGCACTGTAGGGTCCATCCCGTAATTGAGATAAAATGGGGAGTGATCAGTCGTACATGAGGGTGCGTTGTTGTAAGAAAATTCCAACATGGGCAGCACGTCCTCCCATTTGTTCCGGTCGGGGCAGTTTGTCCGAATTAGCTGCTCCATCGTTAGATTTGTCCTTTCCGTCTGGCCATCCGTTTGAGGATGATAAGCGGATGAGAATTGTAGACGCGTGCCGTATCGAGCCCACGTGTCCTGCCAGAATTTTGACGTGAACTTCGGATATCGATCGCTAATAATTGCTGCTGGTATCCCGTGTAGGCGAACGACGGTCGAGATGAACAGGCGCGCTGTTTCCTCGGCTGTGATGGTTGTACGACATGGTGCGAAATGCGCCATTTTCGTCAATCGGTCGACGACAACCAAAACTGCGTCATTTCCACTAGGTCCGGCTGGTAGTCCCGTAACGAAATCCATCGTTACGTGTTGCCATGGGCGTTGAGGTGGCTCGAGGGGCTGCAACAGTCCTGTAGGTCGCTGGTGTGATGACTCTATTCGCTAGCAGATCGGACACGCGGCCACGTAACGCTGCACGCCCGTCACCATATCTGGCCAGTAATAAAACCACTGCAACGCCTTCAAAGTTTTGTCAACCCCGAAATGTCCCGATAAATTCGAATTGTGGACTTCTTCAATTAGTAATTCATGAAGTAGACGATAACTTGGGACCCAAATTCGATCAGTCCCGCTTCGTAAGTAATAGACGCCCTTCCGTGTAGTGATTGGGAGATGGCCGTCATTTACGAAGAAGGGGTCAGTCGAATACCCGTGGGTAAATAGTCCACTTAGTAGCGGGTTGCTCTGGGCGACTAGTACTGCTGCGAGTTGAGCAGATGGTCTGGAAAGGGCATCGGCAATATTGTTGGCGCCTTTTTTTTATGTGATCTTGTACGTGAAGTTGGACTCCAGGTAGTCCAGCCAGCGTATCTGCCGCGGGTTGAGATTCGGCTGCGCCCTCAGGTACTGTAGTGATTTGTGATCGGTTCGTACCGTCACGTCTGCTCCAGTCAGGTAGCACCTCCAGATTTTGAACGCGTGGACGATCGCCAGCATCTCCTTGTCGTGTACCGGGTAGTTGCGCTCAGCAGATTGCATTTTCCGAGACTCGTACGCAATTGGTTGAAGCCCATTGCCGAAATCCTGCATGAGCACTGCTCCGATGGCGATGTCACTTGCGTCGGTGATGACTTCAAAGGGCCGTTCCGGGTCAGCGATGCGAAGTACCGCAGGCGACATTAAAAGAGTTTTTAATGCCTCGAACGCAGCTTGCTGCTTCTCCCCCCACTCGTAAAAAGTTCCCTTCTGCAGTAGGTCGGTGAGAGGTCCAGTTAACCCCGCCATGTTGGGTATAAACCGCCGCACGTAATTCACGAAACCCAAAAATGATTGCAGCTGCTGCAGATATGTTGGCGGTTTCCACTCCTGAATAGCCCGGAGTTTTTTTGGGTCTATTTGAATCCCCTCCGTGGAGATCACATGCCCTAGGAACTCCAGTTCTTGTTTTAAAAACTCGCACTTGGAGCCCTTGGTGATGAGTCGATGCTGCTGCAACCGCTGAAAAACCGCTTCCAAATCCTTCAAATGTTGCTCCCGGGTCTTGCTGTAGATCAAGATGTCGTCCAAGTAAATGATCACGCATTTGTCGAGTAGATCGCGGAACACCCCGTTCATGGTGAGTTGGAACGTCGAGGGGGCGTTCGTTAATCCAAACGGCATTACCGTGTATTCGGAACTCCCATAGCGAGTACGAAACGCGGTCTTGTGGCAGTCGTCAGCAAACACTCGAATTTGATGGTAACCGCCACGAAGGTCGATTTTCGAAAAGTAGCGAGCTCCGCGAAGGTTGTCGATCAGTTCGTCCGTGCGTGGTATTGGGTAGCACGATTTAATCGTTACCCGATTAAGGGCACGATAATCCGTACACATGCGAAGTCCGCCGTCCTTTTTTGGCGTGAACAGGATCGGTGTTGCGAATGGTGAAGTGCTTGGCCGAATGAACTCTTTCGCCAGTAGGTAGTCCAGCTGGTTTCGTAACTCCTGTAGTTCCGGCTGAGACAGGCGCCATTGCGTGCGTACAGTAGGCTATGCGCCGGGCTCCAGCTCGATTTTGTGGTCCTGGTGTCGTTCGGGTGGCAGTCCATTTGGCAAGTCGTCCGGGAAAATCTCAGGATATTCCCGAATGCTTTTCGCCAAGTCATCCGGGACCGAATCGCAGAGTTTGTTGATGTCGGTCGCCTCGTTTTGCTCCGTCGATTCGGTTAGATGGACGGCGTACAAATCCGCTCCATTCTTGACCGCTCGGTTGAGGCACACCGCGTTGACTCGTGTCGACGTTGTCTCTGCTTCCGGCCACGTAGGTAATTTTCGCCAGCCTTTGTCGCACTTCACTGTGCACTCGCCTGTTGTCCAATCAATCTGCGGGTTGAATCGTCGCAGCCAATCGCGTCCCAATAGCACGTCGTAGCCGTCGAGCGTTGTCGCCAGCATCGGCGCGCTGAAACCAAAATCTTCGCCACACTTCATTCGAACGACGAGAACTCTGTCGCGTATCGCCAGTGGGGTGCCGTCCACCAATCGTGCGTCGATTTTGGGCAGACACCTTTCCAGCGTCAGGTGTAGTCGGCGTGCTGTCTCTCGATTTATCAGGCTGTGACTCGCACCTCCGTCGATGAAATTTTTTAATTTTCTTCCATGAAGTCGTCCTTCCGCCAGTACAGGGTGGTCCACTGGGTCATCCTCCCTTTTCAGCCGGGAGCGGTTGATAGCGTGTATCGGCACCACTACTCGGTGGGGATGCTATTTTTCGGGCGATGAGGCAGGGTCAGTAGGGGGCCCGACCGCTACTGACGCTTGGCGTTTCCCGA